GTGGCTATTTTTACGGCGAGCCGTAAAGATAGCCTCCCAGGCTATTTTGACGGCGTGCCATAAAGATAGCCTCCCAGTGAGTTCCAGGCTATTTTTACGGCGATCCTCGAAAAGCGACCCTACTCCGCCTCTCATGACCATGTACGCGACATGCCTCAATGTATTAGATCTGGGCCTATAGGGGCCGTTCAAAATATAAACTTACACCTCAGAGGGGAAAGGGTGTCTTTGGCTTCTGTAAGAAAAGTGTAAGATTGGGTGGGGAGGTGAGATGAACGTTTTGCTCATGACTGGGAAGAAAAGGTAAAAGAATAGGCTTCGAAAAGAAAAAGTGGAAAAATGCCAGTAACAAGACCCAGATCTGCATGATCACTGCAGATCCCCGTTGTTGTTGTTTTTTTGTTTTGTTTTGTTTTTTTGAGAGGGGGGGGGGGGGGGTTACAAATAATTTTGAAATTATGATGAAAGTTCTGTAGGTGGATATCTAATTTCTTAATGATTAATGTTTCTTTGTAACTTTGCAACTGTTTTGTTGATCTTTTAGTGTCTTGATGTCTTTTATTTGTAAGGCACGTACCTATTGCATTGACAACAGTCTCAATGTCTTCCACATATATGCGTTTCTTTTTAGTCCATATGGTTTGATTAAATTGTATTAACTGAAATGTTCTTTTTACGGCGGTCACAAACTGATGACGTAGAACACGTTTTTCAGTCTTATAAATTCCGTCTTGGCTTGTAGGCCTTGTAGGCTACTACCTTGTATGTTATTTTATACTACATTTTACTAAATGACTAAACTAATGTAACATACTTTGAGCTGGTTTAAACCGAGAGTAAGGCACTATAATTAAATGTCCTCTATTATTAGTACTATTAGTATTATCATAATTTATAGTCTTTATTCTGGACTTAAACAATTCAATGTTTTTATGTTCTTTACTAGGACCTTGTTGTTGTGGGATTCTTTCAAATAATAAAATAGATCGCATTTTAAAAAGTTTTTGTGTTTTGTTTTCTGATGTGCTCATATTATTACTGTCCATTTTTACAGGGAACAGCTCACCCCAAGGGTGATTCTTTTTCCGATTCATATTTAGGAAAAAAAATTTATTCGGGCATAAGAAATAATGAAGAAAGTAAATTTTGATAAGTCGGAAAATATGAAAGTTGCCATGGAATGGAAACAGCACCAATATGCAAAACAAACAATAATTTTAAAAAACCGAAGGCTTCTTACTCTCTAACAAAATTGCATGAAAATTGGTGGAATGGTAGATACAGATACTATGGTCAATCGTACTGAGCAAAATTTTGATATTTGAATGTAAAAAAATATATGTGTTCTTGTACCCTGAAATTGCATCACAATAATTAATAAATTAATCATTGTGAACACACAAACATTTTTTTTTTTACACCTCTATCAAAAATCTGCTCAGTGCAAAGGAAGGAGGAACATTTTAAAGGCATTCCCAAGGCGAAAAGTGTTAACTCCAAAATGGCCGCTCTTCTTGTGGGTGTGGTACATGTAGTGATGTCAGTGAATGAGATGATGATGCTGGCAGTGGCAGTGATGATGGTAATGATAGTGACGAGGAGGTGATGGTGGTGGTGATGATAAAGAGAGGGTGAATGATGATGGTGGGGAGAAGAAGGAAGAGGTGGTGGTGGAGGAAGGGAGAAGGAAGATGAAGAATAGAATAGAATGACGGTGAAGAGGAGGAAATGGAAAACCTATGGGGCTGTTCAAATATAATCTTACACTTTTGGGGACTTTTTTAAAACACAAAACCCAATACCACTTTTCTCACATTTGCCTCCAACCCCCACCTACACCAATTTAATATTAGTACTTTTTCCGATATTCAACTTCCATTATTGTTTTAAATATACCTGTACTATACGTGGCTTTTTTTAACTACCTTGTAAAAAAAAATCATTTCAGTTAATACAATTTAATCAAACCATATGGACTAAAAAGAAACGCATATATGTTGAAGACATTGAGACTGTTGTCAATGCAATAGGTACGTGCCTTACAAATAAAAGACATCAAGACATTAAAAGATCAACAAAACAGTTGCAAAGTTACAAAGAAACATTAAGAAATTAGATATCCACCTACTGAATTTTCATCATAATTTCAAAATTCTTTGTAAACCAAAAAAAACCAACAAAAAAACAACAGGGATCTGCAGTGATCTTGCAGATCTGGGTCTTGTTACTGGCATTTATCCACTTTTTCTTTTACCTTTTCTTCCCAGTCATGAGCAAAACGTTCATCTCACAGAAGTGTCATATTTGGTTAACCTCCCCACCCAATCTTACACTTTTCTTACAGAAGCCAAAGACACCCTTTCCCCTCTGAGGTGTAAGTTTATATTTTGAACAACCCCTATAGGCCTAGATCTAATACATTGAGGCATGTCGCGTACATGAGAGGCAGAGTAGGGTCGCTTTTCGAGGATCGCCGTAAAAATAGCCTGGGACTCACTGGGAGGCTATCTTTACGGCACGCCGTAAAAATAGCCTGGGAGGCTATCTTTACGGCACGCCGTAAAAATAGCCTGGGAGGCTATCTTTACGGCTCGTCGTAAAAATAGCCACTGCGATAGAAAAACGATCTACCTCTCACCCCGGGTGAGACTTGCCAGCGTAGGCTATTCTCACCCGGTGCGAAACAAGACCTGCTTTTCCTCATTTTGGAATACTGTCTATCGGTGTGGATGATCAAATTGATAAAAGCCAAGAAAAAATTACGTTATAACACAAGTAAGCTAATTTGATCGTCTTCAAAGATGCTGTGGCTATTTCACTGTTCGAATCGAGCCGAACTACGCGGGTCACCATTTTGTTTTGCCCGGAAGTTCTCGCAAAATCTACTCCTCCCCGCTCTCTCTCTCTCTGTCTCTTTCTGAATACTGTCTATGGGTGTGGACGATCAAATTGACCAAAACAAAGTTAAAAAATGATGTTAAAACACAAAAGTAAATTAATTTGGTTGTCTACAAAGATGCTACGGCTATTTAACTTTTCGAATCGAGCCGAACTACGCGGGTCGCCATTTTGTTTTGACCGGAAGTTCTCGCGCTACTCCTCTCTCTCTCTCTTTCTCTCTCTCTCTCTCCACTGCCCACAGACAAAATTGTACGCCTTTAGTAGGCTACAGTTGTAATGGAACGTTTATACACGGCACAGAATTCTACAATTTTTCTGTTATCACAGTGTAGAATTCTGTGGTTTAGGGTGAACGCAAAATTTGTTGGCCTAGATCTAGGCTATAACGGTGAACGCGCACCGGGTGAGAATAGCCAAAAGACTTGCCTGCACTATTCTCATCCCGGGTGAGAATAGAGGTGGCCAAATCTGAAAGTGAAAGTCTCAGGAAGTTACTTTTACTTTAGGAGGCCTAAGGAGGCTAGAGGCAGAGGAGGGGGAGTAGGGAAGGACTTCCGTAACGAGCGACCACTCCATCAAACACTTAATAAAGAAGAGGCCTAACCCTACCCCTAACCCTACCCCTAACTCTACCATCCCTACTCCTACCCCTAGCCCTCAATTCTGCTCTGTCTCATAGTGGTCGCTCGTTACGGAAGTCCTCCCGGGAGGGGAGTTGGGTTTTTACTCTGTGTTTACCAGTTTGTGTTAGATCTGGATTTAGATCTAGAATCAAGAGCTAGATTTTTAGATCTAAATAACTTCATGTGCTTTGATTTTTAAAATATTGTCTTTATTCTTTAGTCTTTTACTTTTTGAATATCCGTGTAAGACTCTCACAACTCATTAGGCAGAGGCACCCAAAAACGCTGCCATTGATAGCCCACTGGCACACATGCGACTAAACATAGAATAACGCATCTTCCTGATTGGCTGCTAATTTTAGTAATGTGATGTCATCACTTCCTGGGATACCCACAGACTATTTTTATAAAGCCGTGGAGGTACCAAAGATCGTGTATATGTTGGGCGCGATCTGTCGATTTGCGCGACCCATCAATCGCGTTGCGCATTTGGTTGATCGAGGAAACGCGCACAATCCATCGATTGTTGCGCATTCTGTTGATCAGAGGATTACGCAGCCGCAGCGCTTTTTGTCGGTCAGTTTGGGTGCGCATTCTATAGATCTTACCCCTGAGTTTTGTTATGTTTGGTGGTCATCCAGAGTGTAATTTAGTTTCACTCTCCAAAGTCAAACTGAAACTGAATGGAAGTAACTGGAAGTCAGGGTTACAATTACGAACTAATCGAAGTGACTATTCGAGTCCGAATAGACAAAAATTATATATTCGGACTCTGAATTGAGGCCAGTATGATGTCCGTTCCGACTTCTGACCCTTGTTTCTAAATAATTCCAGCATTTATGAACATTTTTTCGATTATAATGATAATAATTGAGACGTGAGCTTTAATATCCAGTTACTAGATCTATCTAAACTGGCCCTCCCTGCGTCATTAGTATGAACAAAACTAAGTTGAGCTGACCTTGCCGGGGGCAAAGTTAAAATTATGTCGACCAATGAGACTTCGCGTAGCGATATTGCATTCTCGGCTTATGGGGGAAGAGGTGTTGGGAAGAGGCCACGGCTGTTGGTTTTTGTGCGATGTGAATAAAAAAAAAAAATTACAGAAATACTCAAAACTCAACAAAATCAAATATGATGTATGTGGAAAGACAAATGGTGGTGGAAGTAATGATGATGCTTTAGTGGTGGTGGAAAGACCCTGAGTTGTCGGTTACCTTGTAGGCCTACTTAGACACTGCTATTGGGTAGATCTAATGAGAGTGCCGTCTTTTGATTTTTGACACAATTACACTACAATAACATACTACATCGCAATAACGACCGGTGAGTATCACTACGAACACTTATTCAATATGGAGAGGCTGGTTGTGCTCGAGGTGCTCTTGTTCTTGTAAAGAAACAATAAAGAAAACAATACTTGTACATAATTAATTTTTAATCAACACTCAACAATTTGTCACAAGCCATTAAATCTTGACTGTATTTGGAATACCACATGAAGTACTCAGCCAATCACATCCGTCCAAATAACTAAGTGCAGGTGCTCGATTTAACGTTGTGTCAATTGATCTGCCTCACTCAACCGTCAACACTTACTTAAAGTTCAACACACAACTGTTCTTGGAAGTAAAACAACAGGACGCTCAAACTCAAAGACTAACATGCTCAGTAAACCAATTTTCTTTTATTAAAAATTCACTTCATCATCATACACAGCGGATAAAATACCGTCCAGACCGCTCACTTAGTTTTCCTTCCCCAGTTCCTCCCCGACCATCCTCACCACCCTGCCCGCCCCGT